TTACTGTGTACTTATGACACGCCAGGCAGGTTTCAGTACAGGGATACAGCAGGAAACTAAACAAAGTACCTGCCTGCAGGAACCTCACATAATAGTGGGGAGACAAATAAATTAAGATACGTTTACATACAGTTTATGACTTTAAAAAAAAGGCCTTGTTGGGTGATAATTCTCCAGGGTTCTGCAAAAAAGAGGATCAGTGTCTGACAATGAACATGTTTCATCTCCTTTTGGTATAATAGCAAATGGTGAAGAAGGGGCATAAAAATAGCATTGGCCTTGAAATTACAAGACTTGAGTTTAAATCATGGTTTTGAATTTAGTCTGTGAACGCAAACAACTTACTATAACCTTTTTAGGCTTCAGACACATCCTCTGTACTATGGGAATATTAGTACCACTTTTGTTTACCTTCCAGCAATGGTGCAAGGATCAAACAAGACCAGGAAATCAAATAAATAATTTGTCCCTGTTCTGTAAATGTTCAGTTCTGCACTCCCAGCCAGTTCAAGCTGCTGCTAAGTGAAGCTCCTCCTACAAACTTAAAAACATCAAGTCCAAACTCTGACCCTACCAATGACACGGGATTTCATCTCAAGGCACAAGACATTGCATATCAAACTGCAGGGTGAGGATACGTGGATATGGAAGGAAACGCGTGTCTAGCACGTTTCTTTTTTTTCCCTCCCACTTGTAGGTGTTTGGGAAAGAGACCTGAATGTTCCCAAAGGTCACACTCTGTCTCACCTTGTTATTCATAGTGTCTGGTCCATGCTGCAGTTTGTAAATGGATATTTAATAGTTGTCATTTCTCTTAAGAGTCTTATAGTGGAAAAAATAAATAAATGAACATATGGAAGGCTATATACCAAAATTATCCAACCAGTAGCTGGTGGAACTGCTGATAACCAGTGTCCTTTTCTTGCTTGTTTCTCTGTGTTTTGTGTTTTCTTTTCTTTTCGTTCATTTAAAAAATCTTTATGGAACTTGTACGTGCCAGAATCAGACAGGTGGGAGGGTTGACCCTGCGACTCACATCTCACTCCCAAATCTTTGCTGCGCCCGCCACAACTGTTTTGAGATTACAAGCCAGGGTGGATTTGCTGTCATTATGCGAGGGGCTTCTCAATAGCAATGCTGGTTTGGTTTTGTTTTTTATTCCTTCTGCTCCTGCCATTTCTAAATTTTCAAGACTTCCCAGCCAGGACTCATTCTCACGAAAATTATAAACAGAAGCTGCTTTCTCCTCCCCAGCCCTCTATGAAGTACCACGATGGACTCTTGTCCTTTGTGGGTTTTGAAGCCACCAGACAAAGATTTGAAACCAGGCTCTACTAGTTTACAGCTGAGTGACTCCAGAGAACTTTCTTAACCTCTCTGAACTGCAGTTTTGTCATCTGTAAAACGGGTAGAAACAATGCCCACAGGGTAGGAGGTATAAGGATTTCACAAGGTAATGCATCCGAGGGGCTGGCACTGTGCCTGGCACCTGGTAGCACCCCCAAACATGACTGCTGTTAATAAAAGTCGTCTTGGGAAACACTGGAGGCTGTTGAGGCTAGAGCTCAGGTTGTCAACAAAAGGTGGAGTTTACAATCACTAAGAACTCTGGCTCTTGAGCTCCAGTGCACCCGGTTTAAACCCGTGTTTCCTCCACTTGCCTTGAGCAAGTGACTGTATTTCTCTGAGCCTTGGTTCCTTTGTCTGCAAAATGGGTATAATAACATAACATACTTTAAAAACAGCTTTTCCAAAAAGTGATCTGGGACCTGTGAGCCCTGGAGAGCCACAAGAGTCTTTCAGAGAATCCTTAATGTAAAAAAAAAAAAAAAACAAACCTATTCTCATAAGGGTGTTAAAATGTTACTTGCCCTTTTCACTCACTCTCTCACAAGTTTGCAATAGTTTTCCAGAGGTCATGTGACATGGAATGGTGTCACTGCTCTAACGGCTACTGGAAAGTGTCTTTGTAAATTCCTTTTATCTCCAATTTAATATCTAATATGGTTAATTATTATATATTTATATTTCTATACATTTCTATATATACACCTGTGTATTTCTCTCACATAAACAAAAGCTATTTGGGGTCCTCAATATTATTAGAGTTTAAAGAAGGCCTGAGACAAAAAAAGAAAAGAAAAAGAAAAAAATACCTTTAAGAATCACTGACTGATAGGGTTGTTGAAAAGATTAAGTAGCAACTAGCATATGCAGAGAAAGCCCTCAGTAAACATTACTCTTATAATTGTTGATTCCGAAGCTCTTGAATCATATCAGATAAGGGTCTACCTACTCATAAAGCAAACTGGAATCACGGCAAACATAGCACTTAATATGAAAGTCCCCCTTGTTTTATTCCCTACTCTTTGTTTATGTGGTGAAAGTTCAGTCCACGTAAACTTTGACCAATTTAACGACACCGCGGCCCATCAGAAACCCCAACAACGTCCCTGAGATCCAAATGCCCTGAAGACATGGAAAGTCCAAAGAAAGTCCAGAGGGTTTAGCCTGCTTGGCTGCACCCTGGCCCTTCCCGCCCCAGGAGTCTCCTATCGAGCCAGAAGCAGGTGGTAATGGGGCGGGGTGAAGGAACCTTGGCTCACAGACACCCTTCTAAGTGACTGCCCACAAAAGGAGATGCAGCCTCAAACTGGAAATAGCTTCCTTAAGGGCTCGGTTTTTCCATGGGCATAAACTGAGAGCTACACTGATTTTAAAAGGACCAGGAAAGCAATGTAATGACCTGAGGCAAAAGTAAGTAAGGGTAAGAGTGAGACCTGAAAGAGGGAGCAAAATAAAAATATTAAAATTGGGGTGAGTGATCTTTTTTTTTCTTTTACCCTCCTGGCACACCCTTGAGGGAGGAGTGGGTGGGGAGCCAGCATCGCTAAATTCTGATGTTGATGCCAGTAGATGAGGATCTTAAACAAGAGGTATCAAATGAGTTTGAGGAAGATGCGAAAGGATCTGGATTATAGTCATCAAGGAGGGGCTCAGCAGAAGCCTCTAAACCTGGGCGTTCGCCTCAGGTATGCAAGCACCACGCAAGAGACTACCCTCCCAGGCAAGGTCGTTGCTTTACGCGTTCTGAAAAAAACAAAAACAAAACAGATTCTGCATCAGCAACAACCGAATAAGCAGGTGCGGGGCAACAAGAAAGTTTTGCATATGAGCCGATTTTATTTTTATTGTAAAAGTCTCTTGGGGACCCAGTAGGTTATGTTAGAGAAAGCGGGGCCCTAGGGGAGACTAGAAAAAACCTTATAGCTACTTTCTACTTTCATTCTAGATAACGAAAAAAAAAAGGCCAAAAAGTAACCCAGTGCGTTGGTCACGCAGTCAGCCCCCAAGGCCAGCTGTCCCCACCGCGGCCTCGGTCCTCGCCTCCCACTACTGCGCGACACATAAGCCACCTGTTGCTGCCCTCGCGCCCAGAGCTGAGTCGCAAACCGCCGCTAGAGTTCGTTCTAATTCCCCGGAGCAGAGGCTGGCCGCGAAGCCCCGGCACTCCGCGCCTGCTCATCCTTAGGGCGGGCAGGCAGAGACGCCGCAGAGCCTCCCGGTCCCAGGCTCCTTTTGTTTTCTTGCTGCGCTCCGAGTGTCAAAAGCAGACCCCAGACAGCCTCCCCTCGCCTTGGGCTTGGCCCCTGCGCGCTCGCTTCCAGCTCAAGCCCGGGAGATGCTGAAGCGTCGAGATGCCCACGGAGGGGAAAACCGGTCCATCCGGGCAGTTAACGAACGGCGCCGACAGGTTGCCCCCTGAGACTTATTCCGAAGTGTCCCCGGGATCCCGAATCCCTTAGAGCTCCTCAGCCGAGCACTGTGGCAGGAGCGCCGCGCCCACAACGCAAGTTCAAGTTCCCGAGGCCGCGGGCGACGGGCAAGGAGATCCCGGCCCGCCAGTGCTCTAACGCGCCCGGGAGGAGCCCGGGGGCGGCGATGGTTAGGGATGTTCTCCCGCCGGGAAAGCCGGAGGAGTCCCAACTCTGACAGTGAACCGCCTCGCTTCCGAGGGACTTCTCTGCGAGCCGCCGCAGGGCTGTGCATTTCTCGGAGTCAGAATCCCAGCAAACGCCGGCCCTGCAAGAGTTGAAGTGAGCACCCGGGGCGTCTGTTTGTTTGTTGGCTCTTAAGGAAAAAAGTTTGAGGATCTTTTACCAACCTTGGACCTGGCGTTAAGAGGAAATCTGGGAACCTCCCCAGCAAAAGTCACCTAATTTTAAGTTGTTACATAACTGGGAGCTTTTTTTTCTTAGCCTCCTTACCCCCAGCCCTCTCATTACTATTCCAAGAGTAAAATGTGTCTCGCTTTAAAAACATTTTTTTTAAGTTGGTGGTGGTATTATTTCCCTGAGCCCAAAGACGGGAGAAGGCGCAGGCAGTGCCCTGGGCGCTCGGCGGCCCCACCCGCGCGCTGCCCCTAGAGCTGCGAAAGGGACGCGGGGTCCCGGGACCCTTGGGTGCGGCAGCGTAGGGCGAGCAGCCGCGCCCCGTGGTCCCTCCGTCCGCCACTCCACGTGGTCAGGATCAACAGTTTGTCGAGCTCATCAGTGACACCTTGAACTTTTCATAAAGAAAATGGGTATTGCACCAAGAGGGTTTGGCCGCTGCGCCAGGTCCTGCTTAATATTCAATGATCTCGCTCGCGCCTCCCCCTCCTCCCCTCACAGAAATTCCATCGACTCCGTTACTGGGCTCGGACTTTTAAGTTAATTTACTGCCCCCCCCCCCCACCTTGGCTAGGAACCAGCGCCTTTAGGGCTAGCGTCGCCCCCCCCCCATCCCAGCTTCCGCCTGAAAATGACATTTCGCCGGCGTCTCGGGAGGGGGCTGAATTTCACTTTGTAACTTTCTGCGGAACCCGAGCCCGGGTGGCAGCTCGGGTGGTGGTATCGTATGCAAATACGCATGCTGACGTTACAGATCATGTGGGTTTTGGCGTAGATTCCCCACTGATCGAGACATTTTTTTCCCCCTTTTTTTTTTTTTGCCTTCTTTTTTTTTTTCTTTTTAAAATTTTGGGCACTGTTCTCCGTACGAGGGCTTTTTCTGTCTGTCTGTCCGGCGGGCTGGCTTGGCCCCTCTTTCCCACGGAGCCCGCGCCGGGCGCCCGGTGGAGAGTGGGGAGTGGGTGGGGGCAGCCAGCAGAGTTCCATTTTGGAACGCCCGTGCCGCGTCTCCGCGTTCCCAGCCCGGGTCCCCGCGTTCCCAGCCCCGGCGCAGGTAAGAAACTTCGCCTCGGCGCCCTGCAGCCCCCGCCCGGCGCCGCCAGCCCCGAGCCCCGCACGCCCGGCGTCGGCCACTCCAGCCCAACTTTCCCACCGCCACCGCCGCCGCCGCGGCTCCCGAAAATGTGTTGTTAATGGGACTTGGCCGGGTTTGTGATCGGAAGGGGGGTGCGGAAAGGGGGGGGCGCAGCCTCTTTTTGCGGGTGGGAGGAAATAAGAAGATCCGGGGTGGGGGAGAGATTTTTTTTAAATAGTTTTGATTACAAGTTTGGATAAATGGGAGCCAGCCCGAGAGGAGGAGGAGGAGAAAAAACATGTCTACGTTTCCCTATGTCGACATAAGCCACAAAAAAATATGGCGTCCGCTTTCGACAGGGCGTTACGTAGACCCGACTCTGTTTTTATTTATTTATTTCGTGGCCGGCTCCCTCCCTTCTTGGCCCAGCTGCGGCGCTTTGTGCAAACGGGGCAGGTCCCGCGGGGACTCCAGCGGGACGTGGCCCCGTCTCGGCGGGTTTGGGCAGGCGGGGGGCTGCGTGTGTTGCTCCCCTCCCTCCCCCGCTCTCCCCTCTTCTCCCCTCGCCTGGTGACGATTCGCCGTAATGTGGTGGCAGGAAGCATGACGCCGTGGGTTGAGGCTGCCTCTCCTCTCTCGTCTCTCCTGGTGGCTGCAAGCAGCGGGCGCGCGGCGCGGGCGGGCGCCCGAGCTACCTGCCGCGGGCAGGGCCAGAGCGCGGCGCTGTCCCCACGCCCCGCTCAGGTGCCGGGGCGCCCGCGTGGGTAGGGGCTGCGGGGGGCCGCGCGGTCCCCGGCCTGGCTGTCCGCCGCAGGCTGACCCACGCCCGCAGCTCGCCTCTGCCAGTCCCAGCCCACGTTCGTCCCCGGAACGGCAGCTGGCGCTCTGCGTCTGCCCCACGAGAGGTTAATCTTTGTTGGTGTGGCAGCTTCTTTGTGGCTTCCTCGGGACTGGGTAGACTCGTCTTTGCAAACTTGCCCGTTCCCCAGCCGCTGTGCAGGAGGCTGCGGAGACGGAGATAAGCGGAAAGTTGGAAAGAGTGAGCATCACAGAGCGGTCCCCTTGGCCTCGTAGTTGTGCAGTGCTCGGAGGCCGAGGAGGAGCGAGGAGAGTGGTTTGTGAGTCTGGGGAGAAAAGTTGGGGGAAGCCAAGTTGTGATTTGCCCAGGCTTCCACCTGATCGATGGGCTGCCAAGCCAGTGGGGGTCTCTGCCTTCAGCTGTTTCGCGCTGGTCTTTTGTTTGTCCGGAGGTGTGGAGGAGGGAGGGAGGGAAATCGTGACTTTCTCCGGACCCCTCCCATTTGACCGAGTCGCTGCTGAGCTTGGGCCCCAGGATCACTCCGTCTTTTCAGGCCTCAGAGTTCTTCCCCTACCTGATCTCTGATCACTTTCTCTGTCAAAGTTAGCATCTCCACGGGTCTGAGTCAGGCCCTGCTGGGCAGGATTTGGGGGGCAGGAATTCCTCTCCTTCTTCCCTTGGTTCACTTAGACCGCCCGCATTTACCCTTCTTAAAACACACGCTCATACAGACTCACACCTACACTTTCCCTCCTTTGTAGAGAGCAGAAATTAATGCCAGTTGAAGTGAAGGGGGCGAGGTCCTGAGAGCTCTTCAAGATTTCAGACAGTGACTTTCTATCAATGAGGGCTCTGAGTTTAAACAGTTCAGTCCCAGGGCAGTAATGTCAAAAAGCATTTGGATGACAACCAAGTGGAATAAATAGCTTGTAAAATGGCATGTTTAATAGTGAAAATAAATTAATGGGGCTGTCAAGTCCTCAAATGGGTCTAACATAAAAGCTTGATTTAAGTGTAAAGGGAAAGTTATACAGCGCTGTATACACGTCTTCTTTTAAGGCCAAAAGGGAAATATTCTACAAGCAAGATTGAAATGTGGCACTGACGATAACTAGACCTGTGAACTGTGGGAATATTGTCGCTGTTTAAAAGCTCTGCTCCTTGATTGTTCCCCTGTGCACCGTACCTTCTAGCCAAGTTTGATGTCAACTAAGGGTCCACCTGAAGGTAACAGCTAGCTCTTAAGGGGAAAATTCAGCGGCCAAGGTTTTAAGGTAAATCAGATACAGTAAGTTTTCAGTTGACCTCGTCAATAGGCTCATGGAAACTGACTTTAATTGAAACAATTCACAAGGAAACCAAATTGACCCTAGGCTAATTGACATAAACAAGAGTTAAGTGCCCGACAGCCTATTTCTAATCACAAAAACCTCACCAAATTTCAATGAAATAAAGACCCCTACACTTCTAATGTTAAACATTGAAATAAATGGAAGCTGTACATTTAATAAAGATTATTAAAAGTAAGATAATTATTTTTCAACTCATTTATTCCAGTTCAGGGTCACACGCGACTGTAGCCTGTCCTGGTAGCTCAAGGCGTAAGACACAAACCCACCCTTCCTTCCGGGGTCCCTTGCACTCACCCAGACTGGCACAACGTGGACACACCCGTCACCTCACGTGCACATCTTTGGGATGTGGGAGAGACCCATGAAGACACAGGGAGAGCATGCAAACTCCACACAGACTGTGGCCCCGGGCTGGGAATCGATTTTTTCCCCCTCATCAATGTTATAACGAAATTACATCATTCGAGCACCTGCTGTGTATTAACTAATTCCCCATTTAAAGGAAAAGATTAAAATGATGGAGCTGTTTTTTGGCACTCAAGAAAGGTATTCACCCTGATATGAATGCAATGTATCTTGACAGGCCCCCGTGGGACTGAAAGGTGACTCTACCGCAAGTGTCTCATTCACATCAGGACCACATGATTCGGTAGGATGCTGCACATTTGACAAAAAGAATAATGACAATGTTTGAGGACAGTTGCCAGCACTTACTCTTTCAGTATGCCAGGCACAGTGCTATGTGTTTTACATGCTTTATCATTCCTTTCTCACCATAACCCTATGAGATTAATACTGTTATCCTGTTTACAGTTGAAGAAACTGAGGCTCAGAGAAGTGAAGAAAGTTGCCCAAGGCTGCACACCAGAAAGCGAAGTCAGTGCTCAAAGCCTGGCCTTACCTTTTAGCTTTAAACCCGCAGCTCCCTGGATGTGTGGAGACCTCGTTAGAATAAAAAGGAAAGGGTTAGACGCAGGCAGAAAAGAGGGAGCAGTGACCTGTGCCCTGCGCTCTGAACACATAGGAATCTTCCTGCCATTCATTCCATTATTCATTTATTTAGCAACTCAGTGTTGATTTCTTTGTCCCTTCAACAACTATAATAGCCATCACATTAATAAGAGCCTGCAGTCATTAAGCACTTCTGTATGCCAGGAGCCATTCTAAGTATGATGAAACTATTTTGTCTATGTGACAATTCGGGAGATAAGTACTCTCATTCTCTCCTTTTTATGATAAGGAAGCCAAGACACAGAGAGGTTCCCTAACTTAGAGCCCGAGACCAAACAGCTAGTAAGCAGAGTGCCACGTGTATTCCACGCTCTAGTGCAGTGCACCGCTCCGGACACTATGGGAGTGCTGGTGAGACGGAGCCCCCTTACCCTGTAGGAGTTGGAGCAGACCGGCGGGGAGATAAAGACTCGTCAGACTGCATCGAGAGGAATTAAATAAGTGCTATAATTGAGAAAAGTAACTACATGGAAGCAGAATAAAGGGCATGATTATTCTTCTCTCAGGGAAAGAACCTTGGAGGATATCCTAGTGTGGGTAGCATCTGTACTGACCCATGAATGAGGAGGAACAATGTCTGGAGGTGTATCAGACATCACTGCATTCAGCTGCTAGCAAGAGAAACCCTGACCACTGGTAATTTCACTAGATGGGGGCTCATTTGTGTCAGACAAGAAGGGTAGGTGGGACAATGCCCCACCTGTACCAGTGGGAATGTAGACTCTGTCTTTCTACTCTGCCATCCTTTGAGTACAGGCAATTGACCCCGGGTCTATGGTCTCATGGTGAGAAGGTGGCTGCTGCCTCTCCAGGCCTCACATCTTCATTCCAGGAAAAAGAAAGAATGAGTGAGGCACAATGAGTGTTTCTCTAATATGGCTTCACTGCTACCTCTAGGAAGAAACACGTTTCTGAGGGCTTTCTATCCTTGGCTCATTGACCACAACTTAGCTCATTGCCTCCCAAACCTACCAGGGAGGGGCAATCAAATATTTTTAGTGAGGCACTTTGCTGCTGAGAACAAATAGGGGTTCAACTTGTAAGGCAGAAGGAGTAAATGAACAGCTGTTGGGTTGGCAGATGAAGTGTGTCGCGGCCTAAGATGAGAAGAGAAAGGAAGGTATTCAAGATGAAAACCGCATGGTGGGCGCTGTGTGTATCCTGGGGACGAGGAGAGGGAGGGGGTGCAGGGAAGGCTGTCAAAGAGATGATGCCAGATTAGGGGGTACTGGGGAGCTATGGCAGGTTGCTGAGGAGGGAATGTGAGGTCTCATAGGAAGGGGAGACTGACAGCAGTGTGCCTTGTGGGAACAAATCAGCTTGGTTCTCATTCGAAATAAAATGAGTTCTGGAAAGTTTCAGACTGGGGCACCAGTGTTCCCCGAGGGCAAAAAAGACAGCATACAATAAGGAAATGAGGGATGGGGGAAGATTTTCTTTTAGGTCCTACCCGTAAAAATCCAAAGTTAACCCGATGTTGGTCAGCTGTTACCAGGAGGTAACTAGCTCTCTTTTCATAATTAGTGGGGCTGAAACTGGTAGAAGGCGGTACCAGTTACTCCCCAAACACTACACCTGCCCCTCTCCTCACCCCCTGGGCTCCTGGGTCCTACCTGAACCTCCGCCACCCATCAGCAGAATAACATTGGTCATGACCCTTCACCTTTGCTTTGAATGCGGCGGCTATCAGGGGGCTTCGGAGGCGCTGCCTTTAGGCCTCCCACGCTGGGTTCCTCCAGCAAGGGCCCACATCCCTGACTCTCCGCTCAGTTTATCAGCTTTGTGACTTTGCACCAATACCTACCCCTCTAGAGAAC